TATTTAAAGTTTTTTTACAACGCTATAGTGCGAAACACTAAAAACGCGGAAATATAGCATGAAAGTGATTAAAATTTCAACTGATGTCTTTGCAGCTTAACTATTCTATTCAACTCTGAATCAACTCAACCAAAAATCGGAAATCTTTCACAAAAATATAAGTTTATTCTGAGAAAGTAAGCTTTCTATCTGATGTTTTCATGTAACTAAATATAGTACTAATTAAGTAACATACTAAATGTATGCTTAATGAACAATTAAGATTTAATAAGAGAAAATTTAATTATTAGAACTAAAGTTATATTCACGTTTCTATCTCTGAAAGATTATTATAATATACTATTATAAAAGCTCATTATTTCAACTTTTTAGCATATTGCTGGTAGAAACCGATGTAAATTTTGTTATAAACATAACTAGAGGAAATCAGCAATTTCGAAATTTTTTAAATTTTGTTTTGAATCTTCAATCTATAATTATACGAACATTAAAATGATCGCATGAATTTTATCTCCCTCTATTCAAAAACGCAAGATGATACTTTATTTTATCAGAGTCGATTAACATATTTATGATAAATATTCTTTTTAATTTCCCAAATATTATTATAAATAAAATTTAATCGTGTTTATTTTTAATTAATTTCCCACTTTTGGCATTTATTTCATGTTTACACAAAACTTGCATGGTTTCAAAATAATAATTTTAGGAAAAATTTGATCAATAGCTTGCAACACTACTTGATACTAGCGATATATACTTGAAAATCGTAAATTGCATCGAAAAAATTTGTTTAAAAATGACGGCATTTAACCAATAAGAGCAACTTTGCAGCATATTATATTGCAACTATTATTAACTATTTTATTATTATTTGCAGCATATTATAATTATTCAGTGAAATATTTAAAAGATAACAATTTTAAAAAAATACAATGAATAAAAAAAAGAAAAAAATGCGAATGCTTAGAATAAATTTTGATCTCAGGTTCGAAATTTTTCGTCTCATTCGTAACGATTCGACAGTACCTGAAACTTATTATTTAGTGCATACGATACTTCAAATTACGAAGTCACAAAGACGTAGTTACGCTGAATAAAGATAGTTTTTTCGATATATTTTGATTTTTTGTGTTCAAAATAACAGGGAGGGGATGCAGCAGCATAGAAAATATGGTCTCAATAGTTCAGGTTTAGACAACAAAGGTATGGTCAAAAGTATGAATCCGGTAATATTAATGTCACTTAGTGCATTTTTGCTTTTGTCAAAGAAGTCGTAGTTTTAAATTTTTATGTATCTAAACTATTTGTCCGGTTGTCTTCAAATTTGGGATTTGATCATTTAAAATTAGATAAAATCGGTGTAAGAGTATTGCTACCTTACAATTTAAAATTGTTTCGATTGTTAGTAAAATTAAGTAAACAGTGAGCCGTTAATTTTGATAGTGGAATAAATCCATTTGGAGCTAAAGTCTTCTTTTATATTTTATCTATTTATTTACGATATTTATTCTTTGCAGCATTATGATGTTTAATTCAATTATAGTGTTAAAAACTTCCCCCAAACTGATTGCTACCTTACAATTTAAAATTGTTACGACTGTTAGTAAAATTAAATAAAAAGTGAGCCGTTAATTTTGATAGTGGAATAAACCCATTTGGAGCTAAAGTCTTTTATATTTTATCTATTTATTTACGATGTTTATTCTTTGTAGCATTAAGATGTTTAATTAAATTATAGTGTTAAAAACATCCCCCAAACTGATTAACCCCCTTCAATATCTTTAAATTTCATAAAATGGTAACCCTTTGAAAGCCTCGGACTTATACCACTTTCCAAATGGACTTATTCCACTTTAAAATAATGGCTCAAATAAATTTTAAAAAAATAGTTTCTAACCTGAACATCTTTGGATAAACAAGTTTTGGAATTGTGGGCAAAAGGTTCGAGCAAAATTCGCAAAAAGGCCCAAACTTTCAACCGCTATTCCAGTTTAAGCAATTGTCACCATATTGTCTAGATTGTGGTTAACCCACTTCCTATATTTTGAGGTTCAAAAATCCAAAGTGAAAAAAAATGTTCATTAGAAGAAGTTTTGTTTTTACGTTTGATTTCAAAACTTAAAATATTGCCTTTTCAAATTAGTTAGCAAATTTCAAAATCAGTCTCTTAAAGCATCAAGATTGAATCCTAATACGTGAAAATCTAATCATGCGACACAGTTAGCATAGGACTTTAGGAGGATATCCAGTTTAAGCGACTTCGAACAATTTTTACCCCAATTAAGTACGCATCATCTTTTTTTCTCTTTTTTTTAAACTCTACACAGTGCAGTCAAAAGCTATATAATAAAGTTGTGTTGTAATATAGGCGTGACAACAGAATATTTTTATTTTGTTCTAACTAAGCATGGTTTATAGCTGCAAGTCTTTTTTATTACTATTTACGTATATGTTACCGGCAAAGTTTGAAACGCCGGCATTCTATAAAATGCCTAGGCATAGTACACTGGTGTGCAAAACTTAAGCAACAAGTGGTTTTTCGGCCACAGCTCCCCAACAAAGTATAAGATAGCCATGAAATTGCAGTATAATATGCACATAATTCAGTAGAAAGATTATTTGTATGCAAATTTTAGAAATAAAACGTCGTAGGTGATGTAAGTGTACGTAAACCTTGTGGGTCGGCGTGCGCAGGTCAAAGCTGTGATAAGAGGATGAAGAGCGCCGAAGTTAAAGACATTCGCTGCAAGTGCAAGTGATTTGTTTTGTGAAACATGTCTTCAAGAAATCATTTAAACGACTTTACTCGAGGAAAAATGATTGGGAAGCTTGAGGAGGGGCGTAGTGAGACCAGTGTCGCCGAAGAGTTCGGGATCAAAGTGTTGTTTCTCGTGCTTGGAATGCCTTTAGAACTACTGGTACAGCTGTTCGGAAGGTTGGTGGTGGCCGTCCAAGGAAAACAACACCAAGAGATGACCGTTACATTGTCCTCCAGGCGAAAAGAAACCGTTTTCAGTCAGCGAGCGCCATATCTCGGCAACTGTGCACAGCCAGAGGACGACAAGTATCAAGATTTACAGTGGCCAGACGCCTCCACAAAGGTGGCTTATTTGCTAGACGTCCTGAACGCTGCATACCTTTAAAAGTTAGCCATCGGCGGCACCGTTTAGAGTGGTGCAGAGAACACGAAACCTGGACACCTCATCAATGGAGTCGCGTCCTCTTCACAGATGAGAGTCGTTTTAGTGCTACAAGCGATTCTCAACGTCAGTTGATCTGGATAGAGGTTGGAGCTCGATTTCATCCCAATAACATCGCGGAAAGAGATCGTTACGGTGGTCCTGGAGTTGTCGTCTGCGGTGGCATTATCTTGAACGGGCGGACTGAGCTTTAGATCTTTGACCGAGGTTCTGTAACTGGAGACCGCTACTGCAACGAGGTAATCCTAACCCATGTGCGTCTGTTCCGAGGGGCCATTGGACCAGACTTCATTTTTATGGATGACAATGTCCGGCCACACCGTACTGCTAATGTTCAAGAGCCACTGGAAAGTGAAGATATCACACGAATGGATTGGCCAGCTTACTCTCCAGTTCTAAATCCCTTAGAGCATGTGTTGGATGCATTAGGGAGACGTCTTGCGACACGACAGTATCCTCCTGGTAACACCCATCAGCTGAAAGATGCGTTAAAGGAGGAATGGAGACGTTTACCCCAAGAACTCCTGGATAATCTGGTGCTTAGCATGGAGAGACGATGCCAAGCAACAATTATTGTAAGGGGGGGCATATCCCATACTAGGGAACATCTGCCAGTTGTACTTACGCTTCTTCAGGCAATCATGTGTAACGCCACTATATGTCAAATAAAGCCTTTTTTTGTTCCATACCCTACTTTAAGCTTTATATTCATTTCTGCTCCATTATTCTTTTAGCATCGTTTAAGTACAAAATAATGTACATCATATTCAAATTTCATGTCAATCGGATGATTTCTTGCAGAGTTATGACATAAAGCACACTTGTTGCTTAAGTTTTGCACACCAGTGTATATAATGCCGTATGTTTTTAGGCAAGGTATGAAATATGAGAAGAATTAGATACTTTCCCTAGGCATTGTATATAATACTTAAGCATTCTATAGAATTCTATTTAGGCAAAGTATGAAAAGAAACGTCCTGATGGAGTTATTATGTAAATCATGCGCATTTCTCAAAAATAAAAATGGTATTCTGAAAAAATAATGAGAGTGCCAATAAAAAAAATGTATTCAAAATGCGTAAAGAAAAATGAAAGTTGTACAAAACATAATTTATGCCTTTCTCATTAAGGGAAACAAAATTTTCGTATAAAAAATTCACATTTAAGTAACAGTTGTTTTCAGTTTAGAAACAAATATTGCACAAAATATCCATTTCATCACCTTTACTAGCATGGCCACAGAAGATTTTATACTTTACCGGTTTCTCATTTGGCATTCTATAGAATGCCGAGGAAATGTGTGAAATATAAATCATTTCATACATTGCCGGCTAGTTTTAGACATTATATACAATGCCTAGGTATTCTATAGAATGCCGGGTTTCAAACTTTGCCGGAAACATATATATATTTTTTAATTTGCAAATCTCGATTAGTACTATTGTCAATCCAAATTTTTTTGAACAAATTACAGACGTATTTTGTAAAAATTTCATGCATATGGAGATTCCTAACTAGAGTAATGCAAACAAATAAAACTTATTCATGGTGAATATGGTTATAATTACTAAGGTTAATATTTATGGTGATAAAAGCTATCTCACAACACCCGCAAATAATTTCACACTCAAATATATTTCGACAAGGAATAATATACAAGATACGAGTACACTACTGCTTAAGTAGTTTATTGCATTGAAGACAGTCTTTATTATTTATTTAAACAATACTTTTGTAAAACACAGGTCATTCTGGACACATATATCCCCGCTACATCAAGAATAACATCTACAAGCCTTTTTTTTTTTACCTACATTAAGAAAAAATGCATCGAGTGATATCTTTTACTAAAGTCATGTCCTTCGTTTTCTATATCCAATTAACTTAAGAGATTCTTTCATAATACTTTTTACACATTTACGAGTTATATTCATAAAGCATGGTAGACAGGACCATGCTCTTAAAATGGTTAAAGGAGGTAATAGTCGAAATCAAATTGTCTGATTCTGAGCGAACGCTACCATTTGTCCATTGTTTTTAAGTACAACTGCCGCTAATTTTTAAAGTCAGTTTCATTTACAAGACTGTATGTCCAGCACATAGTGACATGTCTTGCACTCAACGTAACAGCACCAGTGGAATTTGCATTTGCAGCGTTCTTTGATTGTTGTTTTGTGGGTGTTGTACCCCCTGCCACAGCACATGAGGTTGCAACCATCTGTGGAGGGAGAAGTTCTGTTGCAAACGCGTCCCTCCGTGCCCCAAGATCCTGTCTCTTCGTTGGGGACGCAATAGTCGGGAGATTCATCTACATAGACGAGGTCTTCTGCGGTGGGTAAGTTGTATCGAGGATTGCGAATCTGGAGTTTGCCTCGATGGTTTATCTTCACTTCAGTAGCCCCATCGTATTTGTCTTTGAGGTAGTCGCCCACTTCACGAAATGGTGCCAGTTGTTGCCAGCAAGTGACGAGGGAACACGACCCAGACACTCCGTGGCACTTGCAAGTGACTCGAACTTTCCTGATGACAGCCTGGAAAAAGAGTGTCATTTAATAAGTTAGGATGTTTTAGTTAAAATCATGTTATACATGCAGAATGTAATATAAGCGGGATTGTACAAGGTGCGGCTATTAATTTCCAGAGATGAGCTAGTAAATTCTGAAAGCATTATGTGAATTGCACATTCATTCATTAATTGTCAAAGCTACCTCCGCTTGCATCAATGAACATCGGTACATGGATGTTACAGTTTCAGAAAACAACTTTTAAAGTCCTTGTTTCGAAAGCTCTTTAAATGTAACGATGAGGTTTTCTGAAAGGCCATCCATAAACTTCGTTTTTTCGGAGTTTGCCGCGGTCATAATATTCCTTTGAAAAATTTGTTATAGACATTTTGCTTCCGAAATAAAAAAAATTAGCTAAACGAACAATGTATAAGAATATCAAAGATACTAAATGAAGAAAAATAAACGTCTGAATTTAAGAGTAAATGACTTTAAAAGTCGTTTCTCAAAATAAAAGCCAAGTTTTAAAGGGCATAACATCAGGTAGAGGATGCTCCAAAACATATTAAATAGGTTATAAAACCAAAAACTAAACTCAATGGCTTGGCAGCACATGAACTAAAGCCTACTGTTTACTGTTTTCTGTGGACTAAAGTCCTAGTTTTCTTGACCTTGAGCTCTGGAGTGCATGAGCAGATGAGATGTTCCGGTTGGGTGGTCAGCCGAACGTGAAATGCCCAGTGTTTACTCCCCTAGCATGCTTTATATTGATTTTATCGACCCTTTGACCGGATGAAAAGCTGAGTCAACCTTTTTGGTTCGGGGATAGAACCCGGGAACTGTAGTAGGAGTGAGCGAAGCACTACCACTCAGCCACCTGCCGTCATTAAATGAGTATGTAATTCACAAATTAATTTCAGAATTTATTTATTGTGTAATTCACAAATTAATTTCAGAATTAATTTGTTTTATAATATTATAATTCGCAACTTAATTTCAGGATTTTAAGATTATTCCTGGAAATTTACCGTTTGATGCAAAATTTTTATTAAAGATATTTTTCATACTTTTTTTCATTATTTTGTATTACTTTAGATCAAAATAAGTGAAAAACATTATATTTAGCATTTTAATAATATATATGATCATGAAATACAGCATGAGACACCAGTATCTTTTTCTGCATTAAAAGTAAAATCTTCCAAACAATACTGTTTCAAATTTTTACCTATATACAGTTATTTAGATCAAAGATAAACAGTTATTTATAATTGGAATTTTTTTCAATTTGTAAACTCAATTATTGATGAATTTTTGTATATGAATAAAAAATTCCAAACTCTTTTACCTCCTTTCGGATTTTATATTTACTATTAATTCATTTAGATTTTATATTTATATTTCGAATTTTATATATATTATCGGAATTACTTACATAAATTATTATATTAATAATTCTGATGATATAACAGATTCTTAGCTACTATTAGACTGTTTTTTATAACTGAAATATTCCAAAATACATTTTTACTTGCAATTAGAGAGTCAGAAAAAAGATATATGAAAGAATCACCGGTGCCCCATCTGCAGAGATGCCAACTTGCTCCGGACAGCATATATATATTTTAAAGTGGTAGTTCATGAATTGTGATTCTTGGTTTATCAAATTCAATTTAGCAGATTTTTATCCACCAATATTTCTTAATAATTCGTAGGCCTATATAATTCACCACTATGTAATACTTATGTCATGCTATACCCTTTAACAAGCAAGCAAAAATAGTCAAGTATTTGCAAAATTTACTTTGTAGTTATGTACCGTTTTTCTTTAATTATTTTGGCGTGTCCGGAGCAGTTGGCATCTCTGCATCTGCTCTGCTCTGCTCTGCATCACCGTACCTTGCTGCTTCACAATGTGTAATAAAGAGTAATAAACCATACGAACGAATTTTTTTTTCTTAAAAATTCGATCTTAATAATTGAATCTTGTTTCTTAACAATTATTGCGTTAAGCATCAATAGTTAACTTTTGTGTAAAAGCAGTATAATAAAACATAAAAATGAAATAAATCTAAATAAAAAGACGATAGGCATATTTTTACGCATTCACTCAATATTTGTACATTTTTCTTGATATCACATACTTGAATATCAAATTTAAATGTGTTTGATCGATTAATGTTCTAGTAGCAACGCTTCAAACAGATTTCTACTATTTTTTTTTTTTTTTTTTTTTTTTTTGAATTGAATACTTGGTTCTTAAATGAGGATTAACAATTTCATAAAAGCGAACAAATTTAATGGGTAGCATATTCCAGGCCCTGCACAAATTATTGATCTATTTTAAAGATAAATTTAAACCACATTGATGACAATGACGTGCCACAATTTCGAAATATGACGTGCATTATTTGGAAATAGGAAAAAACCGAATTGGAAGCGATGAAAAATAAATCTAATATTGCTAAAAAATCTACTAAAATCGAAGTGAAAATGTCAATTAAAAATCCCCGATGCCTTTCTCACAAGTGGCGTAGTAAATATGGTCAATTTCACATTAATTTAAGCACTTATTATCTTTTAATTGATAACATGTAGATGAAAACGAAAATCTTATACTTTTCTGAGAAAGAAGCCTATTTTTGATATTTTAAGATGGAAATTTGGTTTTTAATTTCACTTAATATTTATTTGCTGGTGCTTTTCTTAAACGTACTTTCAATCCAGAAAAGAAAATCACCTACCCAACCTTCTGCCGTGCTATTTTAAAATTAAACGCGGATGATTGATATAAAGGAGTTTTGGTTCATAATATGAACTTTTATATTCTTTGTTATAGATGTTCAATTCTAAGGGCAACTGACGTCGTTACACATCCGTATCGAAAAACCGCGACCATTAATTCCCCTTGACATAATCCAAATGCAGAGAGTTATACGCGTATAAATCTCAAACTACACCCCTCACTTTAATCGTGCCCCCCTATCCTAACCCTCCACTTGCATCAGAGGCAGGGCGAAACATTTTAATAACCCTGATTCATACCCGTTTTCGTGATGCAGCCACATCAGTGCCGAATGTGCAGTTCCCAGGGACATTCTGTAACTTATTCCACACAATTTCCACTACCAGGGGGGGTGGGGGTGTCCAGTGCATACCAAAGTACACTTCAACCGTGTTCTTCGTTATGGAATTTTGCACGCACAACCAGAGGGATGCAATTTCATATCGTTCCAAACTGACTAGTTTGTACCCCTAGAATGGAGCATGCACGCGGAATGGAGAGGGGTATTGTTTGAACGCCGCGTCTCTTCCGGGAAAATGGGAAAATAAGTTCTGGATCTTTCTTTTTGAGAACTTATGGGCACACGAGGTTTAGAGCAGAGCTAACTTTGTGCAAATTGGCTTCTGGCTTAGTCAGTGAATTTTAAAGTTTTAGTTTTGCTTTAAAAAGTTTTTGGCATTTTCAGGATTGAGATGCTCATTTAGCGCAATTAATTTCGAATGTTTAAAGAAAAATTTGCATTTCTATTTTCTATGACCCTACGGTAACCTCTTGCATACCATGAATATTTATTTTGAAGATAAACGCATGCTGAGCATATGTAGTAAAGTTATTTTCTAAAGAAATGTTAAAGTTATTGAAAATTAGCATTCGCTTTTTTTATTATTCCAAGATATACCATGCTATACATACCTAGGACGGTTATATCTTAATGTTAAAGTTATAAAAAACTCTTAATTTCCCATTTCCCTTGCCCGTGGGACAGCCCAGTTCCTATCAGACATAGTTTATGACATCATTTGGTTTCGTTACTTCCAACTGTTGCTTAATTTTGGTGCTGTATAGTTGGTTCCCTTATTTTTGCCAATTAAATAATTTTAACAAATAAATCAAAATAATCCAATTTTTCAAGGGAAATAGTATAACACTCTTCAATATTATTTCTACTCAAGTAAATTATGCATTACTAAGAGAAAGAAAATATTTTGAATATTTAAGGTAAGAGGAAATATAAAAGGAAATATAAAATATTAAAGGAATAAATTTAAAAATATAAAAATAATAAATATAAAAATATAAAAGTAAATATAAAAATTATTCCATAAAATTACGAAATATTATAGTTTTAAGCTAATCACCTGCTTTTTACAGCAATACATGACATTGAAAAAAATCAAATCGAAAGAAACTAAGATTTCCTAAGGAAATTCAAATAATTTTGTTAAGGTGTAGAATGAAATGAGAAAAAAAAAGTTTAGTTAATCACTAACTATTTACAGTACTTTAAAAATATATCATTGAAGCAAATTTTTTTTATTTTATCGAACCTAAAAAGAAAGCTTTTAAAAGGGAAATAAAAAAAAGACTTTCGTTAGCTTGTGCCATGAAAAGAAAAAAAAAGATAGTTAAGTTTAATCATTCGCTATTTACAGCAATGAATGAATTATGACAGAATTAATTATATGATCATTAGTTACCCATTGGTCATTTTTTTTTCTAGAAAGATTTTCATAGACGCCCCAACGCTTCCAATGCACGCAGGTAAAAATGAAAATTAAATGATTCTTACAACTCTTTACACCTGATTATGGTGCTAAAGTGTATTTTGTCGAAAAATGTGCGGGTGCGAAAAACTTAAAACAGCCATTTTCCCTAAGGGTAAAAATTTAAAACCCTAGAAGGAAAGCCTTCAAAATAAAATAAATTTTTTTTTCACAAAGTAATGGAATAAAATGAGGAAGAAAAACAAATTTTTAAAAAAAAGTCTATTTGCATGCCATGACAAAGTCTAATTTATTTATTAAATAACAAAGATGTAAAGCTGTTTTTTGAGGCTCTGTCACCAAGGAAAATAAAGAAGCCATACTGTCTTACACTTGAAGCAAATCAATGATTTTAAACAATATAACTAATCTTGCCTTAAAGAACTACTTAGGCTTTAGAACAAGTAATTTAAATATTTTATGTACATGTATATTATATTAAGTTATTAAACGTCATTGAAAAATCGCCAACTTAGCGA